TAAATATTCGCTGACGTTTGCAAATCGATCTCCGCCGCTAACCGCTGCGCCACCGCTCCCCCTCGCCGTCCATCACCACCACCACCGCGGCGGCAGCAGCCAACCCAACCCAACCGAGCGCAGCACGTTTCCGTGGACATTCTCGAGTGTTCATCATTACAGCGCCTCCTTAATTAAGCCATGCAAATGCGGCAGCGGCGAGAGATGGAAGGGCACCCTCCCGCCTAATGATTGCGTTAATGCATGGCATTGTCACGGCCGCGGCGCGCGTGCGTGCGCGTTATTGATGGGATGGTGTCCGTGAACATTATTAATTCACCCACCCACCAACCCCACCAACCCCCTCCACCAACCCCCCCCCCCCCCCCACCAGACCTATCTCTGTTTGACCTGTTCTCACGCAAATGAAGATGTCTCGGCCGCGCGCGTTTGCAGACGCGTCAAGGTTCTCTGCCGTTGGCGCGCGGAGCGTTCGCGTTCGTTCGGCGATACTGACGCGGCTTTAAAGAAATACATAAAAAAAGCCGTGTGTTTGATCGGCGACGTTTCGGTCAAGGTGCCTTCTTCAGAGCGCCTTTTTCAGAGCACATTCTTCATGGAAGGGCCGTGGGATCAAAATGTCGCATTTTTTTCTAATTTTATTTTCAGGCCACTGTGTTTTTGACGAATGCGTTTAATGACACTGGTCAACAACAAAAACATGTTTTTCTGGCCTGGACTTTTGCAGCTGTTCTAGACTAATTTCAGGGTGCTGATTCCAAATCTGATCTCAGATTTGCTCTATCACATCTCATTTTATGCTATCGGCATACCCCATTTTCATTGATTTTACCCAAAATTAACTCTGTCACTTATGATTGCAAGTTGTTGCGAGTCAGTGACTGCTTTAGTGTTAAAATATGGTGCTGTATTTTTAGGATAGTGTGTTTATAATATAATTTTATGTAGATATCCACATTTATTTAATATTTTTTCTTCTGCAGTTTTTATTGAAAATGCAATATTTGATATCTCAAAAACCTGATGTGAAAGACAAAAACTGATGCCAGATTTGGAATCAGCACCCCAAAATTACCTTACAACCGTTGGAATACCTTATGCCAGAAAAAGGGTGTTGACCAGTGTTATTTTCGTACGCACATTGCCCGCTTGCAGCAGCAGCACCAGCAGCAGCACCCCCACGTTATATTTAATATCAGCGCAGGACTAATAACTGCACGCGGAACGCCTGTATACTAATTAATGTGCTCCTTGATCCAGCAGTGGAATGACCATGGCCGATGTTGATACTGTACCTTATTACTGGCGTGGAGCGGTGGGAAAAGTGGTTAGCACACTAACCCCCCTATTATGACATCTATTCAACCAGAACCTCGTGACCCACACGTGGCATGAGGAAGCCTTCATCCAGCAGTGGATGCACACTGTGCTGATAACAACAACGATAATTATATTGATGAGTCTATTATAATTACATGTAACGCAGTATTACATTATTATTTAATCGATGGGGTATCAAAGTGGCGAGATGCTAACTACCTCGCCTGGTATACAGGTAGTCGTGGGTTCGATTCCGACCCTGACGCCTGCTGTATATTTGGAGTTTGCGGTGTCTCTCTCTCTCTCCCCGTGGTCGCGTGGATTTTTCTCCGGGTCCTCCGTTTTTTTTTCACCCAGCCCAACCTCTCCCATCCCCCACCCAGCCCCACCCTCCCCACCCCAGCCCCTCCCCACCCTCCAAACCCAGCCCCTCCCCACCCTCCCCTCCTCCCCAAGCCCACCCTCCCCTCTCCACCCAGCCCTTCCCTCCCCACCCAGCCCCTCCCCACCCCTCTCCACCCAGCCCCACCCCTCCCATTTTTGGATGGACACAATAATCCCCTGTGGGCTGGTGGAACCAGGAGGTTCCTACCAGTATACATCTCTGTACTGATGAATGCACCGTGTGTTGTTTGTTCTGCATTATTTTCTCTACTAATGTATTAGTATTACAACTACTAATTGTATTTATCACTACTCAAATTATTAATGCTACTATTAATTATAATTAAAATGTATAATGCCCATTCCATCATAGGATCCCAATACGCACAACTGCTAAGTATTCACAACCTTGTTGCTCCCCACCACCTCCCGCCCTTGAGCCCACGGCCACTTGAAATGTAAAGTTGTTGGTAGTTTGAAAATGTAAAATATTAGTTTTACCCTTTGCTAGCACTACAATGGGCGTTCAGATGTTCAAAGCACCAAACAGATACCGTTCTCGCGAGAGGAATCACGCCCGCATGAATCACACGGCGGACATGTGGCAAAAGCATGCGCAAAAAAATTAACCCGTAAAAACAAAGTTTTTCACTATAAATCCTTTATATGCGTGGCGGCTAGAGTCCTCTCGTCCTCTGGCTTGAGATGGCTGCCACCTATGGGTCAGATGATTGCCTGCCACCATTAAGCAATTGGTAATTACATATCATTTTTTGTTTCCTAAAAAGTGTAAAATTTTGGAAAAAAAATTTTCACGAAAATAAATTGTCACGCACAACGAGTCTGTGTGGAAAATGTCAGCTCGATTGGATCACGGGAAGTGGGTTAAAAAACGACCGAAATATTTGCACGGTCGTAAGCGCGCAAGCAAGTGAACTTAATATAAAGGATTTAAAAAACCCCCGCGCACAACAAAACGTGCTCCCAACATCCACGCCATTGTCTTGAAACCGCTCGGCAGGTTACGCGTTGTCATTGTTGCAAAGCCTTGCTCGCAATCACGGCCAGTTGCACCCCCACCCCCATCTCTCCTCCTCCGACTGCCATCGTCCTCACGTCTCGATGGGAGTGCGACAAGCGGCCGAATTGTTATGCGGAGAACGGCACCACCACCATCACCACCACCACCACCATAAAACTAACGGCTCCGATCTTGAAGTTCGCCGTGGCGCAATCAGTGCGTGTTGTGTCGATTCGTTTCATTTTTATTTATTTTTTATTTCACAATTTGTTTCAACATTTTTAAGGTGAACTTTCGTTTCTTGTAGCTGAAACCATCTTTGTAATGCAGGGTGCTTCGTAAAAAATGTTAACACTTCTGAGAATTTGCTCTGGAGACCACCTGGGAAGATTCCAGGGGTAGCGTTGACAACGATGGCGAACGAGTGGAGATACTCTTTGACTTCGTGACGCTATTAACATCACATTTGTTATCACCTGACAGTGTAGTATTATCCGTTCTTTTCCCAACTAAAAACGATAGAACCGTGTAAGTTTCGATTTAAAGCTTTCGTGACTGCAGGGATTCATCTTTTGGCTCTTTCGGTAAAGTCACGTAGAAGGGAAATAATAGAATAATAAAAATAAAACATAATAAAATAATTCTCACCACAGACCTGTTCTTCACCTGAGGACGGCTGGTTGCGTTGTGGCCGAAACGTCGTGAGAATTATTTATTATGTTTTATTTTTATTATTTTATTATTTCCCATCTACGTGACTTTACCGTATAAGTGTTGACATTTTTTTTTAACCACCCTGTGTGCATTACTTATTTATTTATTGCCCGACTCGCTTTCATCCCGATCGCTACATCGACAGTCGCGTCCGCGAGACGCGGCACCACGAGACGCGCTGGGCCTCGTGCAATGCGGCCCCCCGCGGAAGTGGATATCGCAGAACTAGCTTTTGAGATCCCGTCAAGTGACCTCTGGTCCGCCACACGAGAGTCAAGTCCGTCACGTGACAACCAGAACAAGAAAAACATTCGAACACTCAAGAGCTGCGGTTCAGCCCAAATGAAATGCAGATAAAAAACTTCACGTGAATTTTTGTGTGTGTGTGGTGGCGTGTGTGTGTGTGTGGTTGCGTGTGTGTGTGTAGGGAGCGGTAGTGTAGCGGTTAGCGCGCTGCGGCAACCCGGGTTCGATTCCCGCTCACGGCCAACACCAATGTCGATTATCTGAACCGGTCCTGAGCCTCCCCTAGATCGACTCAGCCTGAAATTAGTACCTGGTTCGGTGTGTAAGCATCGCTACTAGGGAGACAAAGGTGGTCGGGCGTGGGGCTGGCCACCCACCCCCTCGTGTACCGTCCCGGCCCTTCATAGGTGCTCGCTAACAGCACTTGCCCCTGCAGTCTGTTAAGGCTATATACGGGGGATCTTTGTCTTGAACTGTGTGTGTGCGTGTGTGCGGTCATTGGTGAACATGTTGAGAAGCCTGTTTAATCGCAGGCTGGCAACGGCCTAGATTCGAACCCAGGGTTTTATCGGCACCAGCCCGGCCACCTGTCCTGCATCTGTTTCATTATTTTAGGGGAGTGGGGTGGGGGCATTAAAATGAGATGAGAGACGTCCTCAGTTACATCGGGTGCTGACGAAATCACTTGACAGTCCTTTGCAAGGCCGGCCTCGTTAGCCATGCGGTTTCGAGACAAATTGTCAGTTGCCGTGGGTGAAATCTCCGGCCGCGGATCCATTCAACTCACGTAACTAATTCGCGGGTTGTATAATTTCCCTGCAGCGGCTGAATTTCGCCGCGTGCGAACGAGACGCGGTTTGGCTCTCACGAAAATAGTCGGTGGGGAAAAGGGGAAAATAATGAAAACAAAATCTTGGAGAGAAAATGCCGAGGGATTAAGCGGAAATGGAAATGGACCTTTTCTCTGTTTCTCAGTTTGGAAAAAAAAAATCACGTGGAGCGAAACGAAAAAGAGCGGTGTAGAATTTACAAATGCCCTGATTTTAGAAAATTAATGGGTTTTCTTCCTCTTTGTTCAGATTAATAATGTAAGATGCTCATTTATTCACATAAGCAAAAATGTCAAATTACTTTTAGAAGAGCGGAGCACATTCTCTTAGATTGCAAATCGGGGCACTTTTAAGTTAGAGATCACCTTTATTAAGCTGTCATCAGAATTTTTTTTTTCATTTCCACTTAGATTTTTTGCTAAAACAATCATTTTTCTTTCTCCTCCCTCCCTCTCTCTCTCCCTCGCTCTCAATATCTCCCACAGCGACGGTTACCACGGCAATGCTCTCGGCTCCCAGCATTCCCGGGAAATTTGCGGTGATGACCCCTGACCACGGCAACGAGAGGTCACCAAACGCGGTCCCACATGCGTCCAAGACTGCCGGTACATCGCTCTCGAATCACGCTCGCTCGTATTTTTTTTCTTTTCGCATCGTTGTCTGGATGTGGAGGCGCCGGTCAAGGTATCAACTTTTTTGTTTACGTTTTTTTATGTTTGGGGATTTTTGTATTCACTGTCTCTTCTGGTCGAAAGACACATTCCCCCCCCCCTCCCAAAACTTTCACGAGCATAACCTGGCCGCAACTTACCCGACTCCCCTGCATCTCAAACACCCGCAATTGCACGCACGCAAGTTCAAGTTCAAGTTCATTATTAGGTAGAGCCCTGTGAGCCATTCGGCTTATGAATCGGGTGCAACCGCAACAAACAAAAAACAAAAACAAGAACAAAAACATCTTAAAGTGAATATATGACTAAGTGCAAACAGAAAATCCAAGAAAAGACAGCAAAATATTGCAGAAAAAAAGCACCGTACACCAACGGTGTGTGCAAAAATCCCAGTGGGATGCAAGTCAAACAACAACAACAACCACAAGACAACTTAGATTAAGGCCATCAGTCTAACTCTGTACAACAACAAACAAACATGGCCAAACCAATACACTTTTCGAAATCACCAAAATAAAGCCATGAAAGCAGACGAAGATGCCCCCACGTGGCCTCGAACAGGCCGAGGTGCACGAGGTGGGACCGCCGCCTCCGTCTTCCCGGCTCCCGTTGTTCATACGCCACGGCAGATGTTCGACAAGGCCACTTGAGTCCGAGTCGATCTAGGGGAGGCCCCGGGATCAGCCGCGGCGTTCGTCACCGACGTCGTGCGGCCGCACTCAACGCTCGCTAACCCTCACTCTTACACAAAGACCCCCCGTATAGCCCAAACAGACTGTTGGGGCAAGTGCTGTTAGCGAGCACCTATGAAGGCTGGCACAGCGGCACACGAGGTGGTGGGTGGCCAGCACCACGCCCGGCCGCCTTTGTCTCCCTGGTGGCGATGTTACTACACACCGCATCAGGTACTCATTTGAGGCTGAGTCGACCTAGGGGAAGCCGAGGACCGGTTCAGATAATCGTCACCGGTGTTGGCCGTGAGCGGGTTCATAGCGCTAGCTGCTATACTACCGCTCCCCACACACTCGCACACGCACACACGCACACACTCCCACACACTCGCACACACTCGTACACACTCGTACACACTCACACACACTCACACTCCCACACACTCCCACACACTCGCACACTCGCACACACGCACACACTCCCACACACTCGCACACGCACGCACACACACACGCACACACACACTCGCACACACTCCCACACACTCGCACACTCACACACGCACACTCCCACACACTCGCACACGCACACACACTCGCACACTCACACACGCACACTCCCACACACTCGCACACTCACACACGCACACTCGCACGCACACACTCACACACACTCACACTCACACACACTCACACACACTCACACACACTCGCACACTCACACACGCACTCGCACACTCACACACGCACACTCGCACGCACACACTCACACACACTCACACACTCACACACACTCACACTCCCACACACTCACACACTCACACACTCACACACACTCACAACACTCACACACATACACTCACCCTCCCAAACACCTCACACATCACACCGCACACACTCCACACACTCACACAAGCACACACGCACACACACTCCCACACACTCGCACACGCACACACACGCACACCACACTCGCACACACTCCACAACTCGCACACTCACACACGCACACACGCCACACACGCACAACACACTCACACACACTCGCACACACTCCCACACACTCGCACACACTCCCCACACATCTCGCAACACACTCCCACACACTCGCACACACTCCACCACACTCCCACACACTCGCACACACTCGCACACACTCCCACACACTCACACTCGCACACATCCCACACACTCGCCACACATCTCCCCACACACTCCCACACACTCGCACACACTCCCACACACTCACACACGCACACTCGCACACACTCCCACACGCACACTCGCACACACTCACACTCGCACACTCCCACACACTCGCACACACTCGCACACACTCCCACACCACTCCCACACACTCGCACACACTCCCACACACTCCCACACACTAGCACACACTCGCACACACTCCCACACACTCACACTCGCACACACTCCCACACACTCCGCACACACTCCCACACACTCCCACACACTCGCACACACTCCCACACACTCACACACCGCACCACTCGCACACCACTCCCACACGCACACTCGCACACACTCACACTCGCACACTCCCACACACTCGCACACACTCCACACACTCACACACTCACACACGCACACACTCCCACACACTCCCACACACTCGCACACGCACCACACCGCACACACACACTCGCACACACTCCCACAACTCGCACACTCACACACGCACACACGCACACACGCACACACGCACACACACACTCACACACACTCGCACACACTCGCACACACTCCCACCACCTCAGCACACACTCCCACACACTCGCACACACTCACACACTCCACACACCGCCACACATCGCACACACTCCACACATCACACTCGCACACACTCCCCACTCGCACACACTCCCACACACTCCCACACACTCGCACACACTCCCACACACTCACACACGCACACTCGCACACACTCCCACACGCACACTCGCTCACACTCACACTCGCACACTCGCACACTCCCACACACTCGCACACACTCGCACACACTCCCACACACTCCCACACACTCGCACACACTCCCACACACTCCACACACTCGCACACACTCGCACACACTCCCACACACTCACACTCGCACACACTCCCACACTCGCACACACTCCCACACACTCCCACACACTCGCACACACTCCCACACACACATCACACGCACACTCGCACACACTCCCACACGCACACTCGCACACACTCACACTCGCACACTCCCACACCGCACACACTCCACACACTCCCACACACTCGCACACACTCCCACACACTCGCACACGCACACTCGCACACACTCCCACACGCACACTCGCACACACTCACACTCGCACACACTTGCACACCGGTTCAGATAATCGTCAACGGCGTTTGATCGCGGGCAGGAATCGAACTCGGCTCGCAGGGGGTTCGTTGCGCAGCAGTTCGCCAACCACTGCGCCACCGCTCCCCACGCTCACATCCACGCACACATCCACGCCTCCCCCGCCTTCTCTTCCTGCCTTCGTGAATAAAGAGTCATTAGATGTAATTAGGCCACCGTTTAATAATTGAGGCCATTTTGTGCTGTGGAAATTACAGGGTGGGGTGAAAAGCGAGGTGGGTGGGGGGTGGGGTGGGCGGAAGCGACGCTCAGTTAATTAATGACTGAAGAGTTTGGTGATGGATGGGGAAATAGAGGACGATTTAATTTGTATCCCGTGGAAAATTGAACCCCTTAAAGGGGTCTTTCAATGCACTGTTGGCGTCATTTTATCCCAGCACTTCATGCTCGGGATTTACACGCCCCGAGAACATGATTTCATTATTTCTTCTTCTTGGTTCTTTCGGTAAAGTCACGTAGAAGGGAAGTAATAAAATAACAAAAACAAAAACATAATTAAATAATTATCACGACGTTTCGGCCACAACGCAAGCAGCCGTCCTCAGGTGAAAACCAGCTCTGTCGGGGAGACAGCGTCTGAATGAAACAGCACACGAGCTTGGAGCATATATATAAGCGGGGTTGGGAGGGGGGGAAAGGGCGCTTCGACAAAATAATTTGCATATCAAGAGGAATTTAGCATATTTATGGGAAATGCAGCAAAGTGATTAGTACTACACATGCATTACTTCTGTTTCGGTTGAGTCATTAAAGTCACTACCATCGCCAACTCGTGGCAGTCCGCCCCGTGCGACAACCCACCTCGCTGTTGCCATCCTCTGGGAGATGTCCCCCTAAAATTATCGACGAAACTCGTTTTTATTTCAACCAGGAACCGCCCTCAAACTCTTTGTTTTTTCGGTAAAGTCACGTAGGTAAAAAATAAAATAAATGAAAACGACTCAATTAAATCACGACGTTTCGGGCGCAACACAAGCGTCCGTCATCAGGTGGGAAAGCCCCACTGAGCCTACGTAGCACTTTTTCAGCAGCGACCTGGCCACAAATGATGGCCCAACCAAGTTGTTTATCATAAACGTGGACAGTTAAAGTCGCCAAATACTCTAAACGCCCAAAAAAAGGTCCCATGTTGTAGCTGCTCACCCCGAGCTATGAATGCTCTGCTACGTGCATTGTTGATTTGAAGCTTTCGTGACTGCAAGGAATCCATACTCGTTGGTTCTTTCGGTAAAGTCACGTAGAAGGGAAATAATAAAATAACAAAAATAAAACATAATTAAATAATTATCACGACGTTTCGGCCACAACGCAAGCAGCCGTCCTCAGGCGAAGAACCACAGACATATTCCCTTCTACGTGACTTTACCGAAAGAACCAAGAAGATGAATCCCTGCAGTCACGAAAGCTTTAAATCGAAGCTTAACACCTGTTTATTGCCAGAAAGGCTTAAACCAATTATTATTTTTCATACGGGTAGAGGGACACCATAAACTCCAAATGTACAGCAGGCGTCTGTCTAGGTTGGGATCGAACCCACGACCTCCTGTATACGAGGCGAGGCAGTTAACATCTCGTCACAGTACTCTCCCCCCCCCCCTTCTTTGGTTAGTCTCGGCCACTGACCATAGTCCCTTCCAGCTATGATTGTGCCCTACACAAGCCCCACTCACCTTCCTTAACAGTCAACGACAGGCGTTTGTTCTCCAACACATGCACCCCCCCCCCCAACTCTCTTTCTCCCACCCTGTGTTTGTGTAATTGACCTTCCAATATTTTTTCGTCCCATTTTAATTGTCGCTATCCAAGTGTCTGATTCGTACGTCGCAGCAGGCAATAACCAGCGACTGGAAAATCTCCTCGTTAGCATCCTTGGTGCGTCGCTCTTCCCCCCCCCAAGCGTGATTATCGCGCAGTTATCTTGATTATCGGACGGCGGGAGGTTGTGGAGCTTGGCACAGAAATCATGGAAAGTTG